AGAAAGGAGTGGAACAGAGAAATGTTATAACTCTCAAATTTGTATATGCAATGAAACGGTGAAATTTTTGAACAGCTTTCAGTTTTTTCAAGGGAATCTAAGAATTAAAAAATACTTCTGGCGGGGCATCAGGTCACAGCAGGATTTGAGATTTTTGGATGGTGGAATTTGGATGTCTAGCAAGCGTTGCTGAGAGCGATCTAATAGTTATGGAAGCGCAATGTGCGATGGGGGGGGGGTGAGATTTGTTTGACGCGACGGCTGCCTTGCAGACCACTTACGCGGGGCAGGACGCGGGGAGAACATTCAATGTATAACAAGGTGGCGCGATGTGTTCAAGAAGAATCAACAACTCTAGTCTGTTGTGTTCAAGAAGGGGTCGTATTTGGGATTTTCGGAGGGCGAAGTCGTGGAAAAAATAGAGATCGTAGCGTACGGAGGAGGTGGTGGAGGTGGAAGTTGGGGGTTCGTGTTTCAATGGAAGGAAAGGTGGACAAAATTGGAGTGTGTCGACTGGTTCCAGATTGAATACTACACAGCCAGTCATGGTGATGAGGGAGTGGGGTAGTATGGGGAGGGGCTGGGGTAGTATTGGGGGATACTCCAAGGCTGATGTACTGGTAGGGGTCGTGTCGAGGTCCCTCTAAGCGGAAGTCCGGAAAACTTTGGAACCTGAAGCAACGGATGGTTGACGAGGGTGGGCAGTGCTCTGAGATCCTGTACTGTCTTGGAGGAAACAAGTGTGTGCAGGTATAGGGAAAGCGGAGGAGACTAACCGTATGCGTATTCGAACCTAGCCTGTACTGCTGAGCGACTTTTAGCGCTTGGTGCTCCACCAACAGCCAACGAATTATTTCCTCCTCCTTCTTTAGGCACTGCTCCTGAAAACAATTTTTTTAAATCGTATGTTTAATTGCTTGAACAGTGCATGCACAAGGAGTTTGCTTTAATTTGAAGGATTCATGCAAAATACCGTTCATAGGTGATTATTAACAGTACGACCACCTATAAGGGTACCTCATCGATTTATGGAGCACAGGAAGATGTGGTTGGGTTTCATATGACTTTTTTTGCTTACGGTAATTTTTTTTCTGGAAATGAACTGAAACTGTAGGTGGGTCGAATTTCTGAAGTTCTGATGTCGAAGGTTAGCTTAGGGCTTCATCGAGAATGTAGAGCCGTGATGCAGTGATCACGATGACTACAGGGCGGTGCGCTTTTGATGACGTCATAAACGTGATGGTGGGCTAGACCTCTCAACGCGCCAGAAGGTGCGGTTGGGATCACCTTTAATGCCATTCCACCAATGACATTCAATAACGTCATCAAAACCGCACCGCCTTCCTTCCATCGTGGGCTCTGCCCTCAGGTACAGAGGGGTCGTGAATCTTCGTTCCATTGCGATACTCTTTATTGTTCGCAAAACATTCGATGGGTTTTCGCCGTCAGAACACTTTCGAAAAATTTCCACAGCGGTTCCAAAAGTGATGGTATTATTAACAAGGGAAGGCTCCCAGGTCGCCATGGTCATTCAACAAGAGATGTATACCACAAGATGTGCCTTTTGAACGGGTGATCTCAAATCTACCTTCAAATCCTGCTAAACGATTTTTGAAAGGAGCTAACAAGGGAGGTCGTTCAGGGTGTGCCAAGCTTTTTCAAAATGGTTTCTTGCATGACATTGGGGCACATATGGGGACCACAGAAGCATGGTTCATTTTTCCTGAACGGCCCTCTGAATACCAGAAAAGGGGTCCCTAGTTCGATTCCTCGTGGTGACAATTTTTGCATTTCGTGTTGACGTTTCCAAAATTCGCGCAAAATGGAGTTAGCATGAATAATTAGTACCAAATTCATGATTAGGAACGTCAGTAACCCTTACAAATAGACTTTGATTGAAAAACTGGTGAAAAAGGTGTGACTAGGGACCCCCTTTTCTGGTATTCAGAGGGCCGTTCAGGAAAAATTAACCATGGTTCTGTGGTTCCCGCATGTGCCCTATATCATGCAAAAGACCGTTTTGAAAAAGCTTGGCACACCCTGAAAGACCTTCCTTGCAAAACAGCGCAATAGCGTGGTCGCAGAGATTTGCAGTCAAAACGTCGTAGGATTGGCCCCTGATCGCGTTTAATGTTTTGCATTCTTCAGGAATTAGGCTAAATCAGGCTAATGAAAAGCCTTTCAGCTGCATTCCTGAAAAAGGCAAAAAAGCGCGACGCGATCAGGGGCCGATCCTACGACGTTTTGATTGCAAATCCCGATCACTACCGTTGCGCTGTTTTGCTTCATAACTCCCTTCAGAGAATCGTTTACAGATTTGGAAGGTAGATTTGAGATCAGCGTTCAAAGGCACATCTCTGCGGTAAACATCATTCTTCTTGAATGGTCATGGCGAACTAGAGCTTTCCTTGTAAGTGATAATCACAATTAAATTTATTACCTGGGATGAATTTCGATTTGGACAGGTAAATCTCTTTAGCGGGCTTCTTTTCGCTAGATTTATTCTTCGATGCATCCACCTTTTCAAATTTTGATGTGCTTTCATCCAACCTGAAAAGCAATGGTTTTGGTTAATTGGAATCCCAGCAAGTGGGAAATTCAGTCTGTATTGAAGAAGAATCTTCTCTCGAAAAGTCTTAGGCGAAGTATTTTGACTTACTTGATCAAACAGATTTGACTTATTGAGTGGAATGTTCCGATTCAAATGACGTTCAATCGGTTTTCCTTGGGGCGAAACATTTTCGGATCCAGTGATAATCCTTGGCGACCACCTGAAATGAGTCGATTCGAGATCTGATGTTATCAGCTTCATGATTAGCCCACCTTTTGCTTGCTGATGACAGCTTTGCTGTCACTCTGGGTACTGCCAGCACTTGTTTTTCTTACACTTCCTGGCGCAGGTTGACTCATAACAGGAGCTCCCAATTTCTCATTCACTTGGAAGTACTTGTACTTGAGGCTCTGTAAAGTTCGACTGTTCAAGTGCAGTACACCTTTTATCGGCGTTACTGAAAACCCTCAAGGCTCACCTGCGCTGCGTTTGGCCTTTTCTCTGGATTCCACATCATCATATCCATCATCAGCTTCATACCATCCTTACCCGCAGTGTTCACAATCGTCTCCATTGGTGCCGGTGGTGCTTGTGGAAAACGGAAATTCATCGCCGTAGCTAATTGGTATCCTTCGGGCCAGTCCTCCTTCAAGAATCATCGTATCAATAATAGTATCTACTATATTATCAAAAATAGAAAAAATCCTTTCCACAAATTAGATATGTATCACTTTCTGAAAAGAATTATTCGAGCAACTTTGTCAGCCCAACCCAACTCGCGTACTTCGCGGCCCAAAATCGATAGGGATTTTGAATTTCATTTCTGATGTCAGGTTTTGTCTTATACGTAGGGAACTGTGAAATGGCTGACATTAAAAGCAGTCTCCAAGTTCAAGGGGAGCCCGGGATAAAATGGGTGTGTAAGAGCGTTCAGTAATGAAACTGGAGGTGAAGGAGTGGTCTGGAAAAGGAAAGAAAGCCTCGATTACGCCCCGAATAGAGACCTCCTCTATTTCAGCCGCATTCCACCTTGGGATAGAGAAGGCGCGTTGGACGAGTTTCACGAACCTACTCCAGTTGCTCCAGTGCCAATGACATTGAACCGCAATGGACCGCTGCCGCAATGCGCCCGCTTTTCAAGCAGCGTCACGTGGCAACCGACAGCGGAAGGCGGGGCTTGCGGACGAAGGTGTGGATTGCGGGTCGAGCGAGCTTCTGCGCCTTTGTCGCGCACTTTCAAGCCGCAAAAGGGGCGCGACATCAACTTGTCCACCTGTCTACTATGATCGGGGATGGAACAGGTGAGCATGCCTAAGCCCGGACCGTGCCTTTAAGAAATATAGAAGTTACAGTAGCGCTAGAGAGCGTCCGCTGAAACTGTTCTTCAGGCTTGTTTCTGAAGTTATCTGTGTAAGCTACGTTAAACCTACAATAGGCTTAGTGAAGGAAAACCGGTGCATTGGGGTGTAATCGGTGCACAACTGATCGGAGAGGTGCGCGTTCGGTTCCCGCCTGGGGCAAGGAGGTCTATTAACCCAACGTTCTTGTGATATTATAATTTTCAAGCGTTGTTTTTGTGAACTAATTGGTCCGCTTCCAATATTGATATGTTGTTTTCTTCTACCTCTATTCACTATCTTAAAATTTTTCATTCAGTCTATTTTTCGAGTTTTAAAGACGCAGATATGGGAAAAAAAATCGTCAGGTAATTTCACAGACAGACCCAAAACGATTGAGTTGGTGTGGGAAGTGATAGTTAGGCTGGTTTTTGGAAGTAAAGTCTGCTATGTAGTGCTGACTTTGCTAGTAGATTGGCCAGAAATAAATGATAAGATTTCTCGTGATGCTACTGCCTTGCGTACCTTACTGGGTGTTCCAAAAATAGTGACGTTTTTGAAAAGTTGATCGAGTTCACTTGTACCTGGAAACAATGGACGAAGCATATACAGCTCTGCCATTATACAGCCAAGGGCCCAAATATCGATGGGTGAATTGTAGGAGGTGGATCGAAGAAGGATTTCTGGTGCACGATACCTGAACATTTAGTTGGACTTCAAAAGATGAAAATAATTTTGTCAAGGCTACAAAATAAGATATTATACAACTTAGGGTAACCTAATTAGGTGCAGCATATAATATGTAAAAAACTAATGATACAATTTAGCACCTTGGAGCCTATGTGTTTCGTTGACCTCGTAGGACCTAACCACATCTCGAAACAAATATTGATCTTTTCTTTTGTTTTCATTTTCCATTCCGTTTGATAAGGATTCTTCTGCGTCATATAGTAGGTTTTTCTTTCTAAGCCGCCTGAGAAGATTCCTAAAATTTTCAGGGAGGTCCCACGCGTCCGCAACACTTGAAACATGCGCGGTTATCCGTGTTAAAAAGGAGCGATTTCCGCTAGCCACTGTGATTTCGCAATGCACTCTGTTATAGCTGCGCTCGATGGAAAATTCGAGCCGTGAGGCACATGAACTATCTTGCAATTTCTGGCTCTTTGGAGAGAAGCCTTGACGGTAATAGAACTACCCGTTTGGGAGCGCCATTTGTTTCATCATTGAGGGGTGGACGAGGACTTGAAGATTGGGTTGTGAGTAACCATGTAAGGTCTTCGTCGTGTTTTTGGCCTTTTTAAGAACAGGCTGTCCTTGGCATGTACATGGAACTATGGCTTCATTTTTTCTTCTGGGAGACCCCCCTGAACGGCAAAAAATGCTTTGGAGATGTTGGATTATGCGTTCGATCCCTGCGTGTGACAAAGTTTGCATTTTAAGATTATCATCTTGCATGATTTCCCAAAACGGTACTTGCAGCTTTTTAGTTTCGCCCCCGTAATCCCATATAGCACAGGACCATGCCAATAACCCATATGGCTAGATTTTTGCCAAAAACTTTTGGGTGTAGCGTATGAGTTTTTTCAAGTCATTCTCTGACATTCAGGGGTCCTCAGCAAAAAACCATAGTTCTGTATTTCGTGCATGTGCCCCTACAACATGCAAAACCGTTTCCCTAACCAGGGCGGCACGACCTTGAAGAGACGCGTCGATCAGCAAACACCCTCTGGGGCCGTAAGGTATGCTTCCCCGAATGGTTGCGGGGACGAAAGTCCCTTTAAATTTTTTGTTTTGAACGATACTGTTTCTTTATTTTCAATGCATGCTTACTTTAAGCTACACACATATATTAGATGTAGGCCCTTTATCAGGACAATCCCAGTTGGGACTACAGAGAAAATTTAAAGGAACTTTCGTCCCCTAACCCTTCGGGGAAGCATACCTTACGGCCCCTGGAGAGGTTCACAGGGGACGTGGTGGTTGTTAGTGGTACGTCCTTTTCGAAAAGAGGAAACTCGGAGAGGAAAAATTCGTAAAACGCAAAATGGCCTCCCTTTTGGCCGCGTTGGTTTTCACTCATGAACAACAAATGCAGTTCTGAAAGCGGGCGTATGAAAGAGTTCGGCGCATCGCGTTTAGCATCACTGTGACAAACCACACCCCAGCAGGGTCGGTCCTATCGTTGCTACTTTTCAAAAAGTTTTTACGACCCCCCTCCCTCATGAAATGTTTCATACGACCCCCTCTTTCAAACAATCTTCTTGGACATTCTAGCAACTTTTGAAATCCATACTGAACTAAGCGAGGTTTTGCTGTTCAATTGCCGAAAGGCACCCAAAACCAGTGGGGACCAAAACTGTATGGCTTCGAAAGGAATAACAGTCTGAGTAAATTTCTCTAGTACTCTCTTTTTCTCTGATCCATACAAGTTGAAATTCCCTTCGTTGTTCCAGATTATTTGGAATATGGAAAAGAAATATCAAATAATCGCAATGCATCGTAACAGCCATACTTGTGCCCGTGCGGCGGGGTATTTTCCATGGGAAATTCGATAAATTTGACTTTGTGGCGCTACGCCAACCAGCAAACGCACTTCGGCTACTTCCCGGCAGTGTTTTTGATATCTTGACGACTCTTTGCACAGTCTTTTTGATCACAAAAGTCCCTTTTACGTACGGACTTAGTTTAAACACGTCGTTGAAATCGACAACAACCCCCGTTTCTTCTTTGTTTTTGAATGGAGAGCAAATAGAAACGTCTAGGACTGTTCTTCTTTGTGCACTGATCAGTTTTGCAAATATCTGTTTACGCAGTCGGGATACAGACCGATATAAGCGGACATCCGCCCCTACCATTCGGCTTGCATTCCCACGCAGGCCTGGCTTCCTGCTTGTGAGAGATGCGAATAGCGTATGGCCTGGCAAGTACGACATCTAGTGAACTCTTTTCGGTGCTAACGCAGTTGATGGGGGCCACGCGGCATCGCAGCATCTGTTCGTCTGCGCTCTCCAAGGCTTGACCCTGCGGGACCATTACCATCGAAGCCGCGAGACAATTTCTATACTGGCAGTGCGGACTAAGCCTTGGTCGCACAGACTGCAGAGCGCTGCGCCACCGCGTAGCCCTCCCCAACTACGTTAGCACCCTCTTTTCCATTCTCATATTCTGATCCCCTTTTATGTATGAATGAATGTGAACCAACATTTGTGCAGCGGTGAAGAGTTGTTCTGAAGAAAATGTCCAGTTCACTTGATAGTGAGATGGTCCGCGATTAGACCCCTTAGTAGCAGTCATGCTGCGAGTGAAAGTATTAGGCCTGTATTTACAGAGGTCACGCCATCTTTGCCGCTTCTCTTGCAACCCTCTCCGCCCACCGCGGTGTTGTAAGGATCAGCACTGCGACTACCCGCAATGTGGACTGCGGTAGCGCTTAAAAGCACTACAAAGGCACCGATTACGGTAGGTTCTAGAGGGTTAATAGGGAACGTTGGGGTGCGCAATGGAGTGCCGAGCTAGGAATGCACAGAATTTCGTCAAGAAGCGCAAAAGCGGACTTTGTTCGGCCTGATTTTCGCTCAAGGATAGGGCAGCGGCTGAGACTAGGGCCGTATGGACGAGTTTATCGCAATCGCGTTTGATGGCAGCAATGCCAATCCATGCTTCAAGTCGAGTTGTTTCAGTTGTGCCGTTCTGACAACACAACTCGCCCAAATCACCAACTATTTGAAGGGTGGAGCGCTTTAGAGCGTGGCGACTTTTGAGTACTGCTTAGCCACCAGTGCACCTCTCGTCTCATTCCCTTGGAAGGCGTACTACTGCTTCGTGTGGCGTATATACTTTTCCAATCCGCTCCCTGTACCATAGTCGTTTCCTCTAACAAGTAAGATAAGATGTAAAATTGAAAGGTAGCAATTGATGCGGCTATGTTTTGGAAGAAAACCTGTTGCTACACTCTCATCTCTAAATGGAGTGCTGCTGACAGAGAAGGGTCTTGCTCGGCATGTAATCGGAGCTTTCGTCTGCCTTTTTTTTCTTGCTTCTCTTTTTCACTCTTTTTCACTACCCACTCCCAACGTCATTATTGAACGCTCCTTTAGAAGTAGTAAAAACTCCTTTTATTCCTACCCTTGCCTCACTGAATAGATTACTTTGCAAACGCGCTGTTGAGACTTTTTCGGCATGCGAATTTATTGGTGATCACAGGTTTTTCTAAAGCGTTCCTACACCAAGTTTGGAATAGTATTTACCATATATTTTTATTTATTTATTTATTTATTTATTTATTTATTTATTTATTCATGCGTGCAGTTGACGCGCCTATAAAGAAACAAACAATAGAAAACATTGTGGTTAGTCAATGAGGACGGTAGCCCTATTATCTTCACGAAACTATTAAAAACTACGATATAAAAGGACTACTGCAAACCTATTCCCTTTCCTGCATTCAAAGAGATAGCAGCACGAGGGAAAATTAGCACTGCTGACCCTCTAGCGAGTATTAAGGAAGACATATCAAACATATCTCTACATAGCAAATATATTTATGAAAACAGGGTGCGTATAAGTTTTAATAAAAAGGATTTCTGACTATAAAAATTGTTGTTGGCTTGTCCATTTATGTAAGTAGATAATTAAATTTGAGCAAAAAGAGATTGAAATCCGGATTGCTCACCATCTTGTAGAGACGTAATCAGTGTAGGGTGGTTTCGATCGAACTTCTCTTCGCCAGACCGAAATCGGCGATTTTCACGAGTTCTGTGCCATTACACATGATATTTTCCGGCTTCATCTCTCGATGGAAATACCCTGTAATTTTGCTACATACAAGCTTACTTTAGTTGTTTCTTCGATTTGACTTCATATCCTGCGGTGCTCTACGATTCTGACGGTTAACTATATATGTTGCATTAGCGCATCGAATTGGACGCAGGGTCTACTCCGCCCCCCCCCTTACTGCCTCTCCCTGTCCGCTGATTCATTGGAGATTTTTGGGGGAAAATAAATTCGATAACTGCTTTAACACTATAGCTTGGCCCGCACGCGCGAATCCCCTCAAAGCATTCTTGAACCGAGTGCCGGCAGAGCGACGGATGTCGCCTGGGAAACTGTAAGTCGTCCACGCAGGACCTCCCACCTCCACGTGGAGAGTCCCTACGCGACGTTACCAGATGATTACGGGAATGCGCGGACGGACCCCATTAAATATAGTCCCATATGCTTATGAAAGTTTCCAAAATCAATTGTTTCCTCAGGTTCTTTCGCTCTGTACCAGCACTCTTCCTACGACGAAGGCTCTCTGGTACACTTTCATCTGCAAAAACGCGGCTGAAACTGCAACAAATTACAAAATTTCTGAAATTTTCTTCTCAAGTAAATATGAAATCGATATAGAAATATACTATTGTGATAAAGAAATCAATATACGAGTACTATTGATATACAAATCTCGGGGCTAGGGGGGGGGCACTCTGTGAAAAGGCCTCTAGGACTAAGCCTAAGGCAGCAGGGACGAACTCCGGAGAATACGAAAATTGCTTCCGCACACCGGAGTTCCTCTCCTCTTCAAAGGCTTAGTCCTGAAACTGAGTTTCCGTGATTTGACGCATATTACCCTCCTTCCCCTCCGAGCCGCACTGCGCCCAAATCCCCATTAACAAAATCTTAGCAAAAATTCCAATCTTTTAAGGTGAATTTCCAATCCATGG